AAGCATTTCCGAACATTACAGTGGAGTAATACTTGTTTAAGTACAGTGTAAGATAAAAATCGACCGAGAAAAGTCTGAAAAGTAATCACCGAATAAATGTTCCAAAAACAATTTTTAAACATATCAGTTTATGACATTTTTAGCTCACCTGAGCCGAAGGCTCAAGTGAGCTTTTCTGATCAAAATTTGTCCGTCGTCTGTCGTTGTTGTTGTCGTTGTCGTCGTCACTGTTGTCGTAAACTTTTCATCTTCTTCTCAAGAATCACCGGGCCAATTTCAACCAAACTTGCTACAAAGTATCCTGGGGTAAAGGGGATTCAAGTTTGTTCAAATGAAGGGCCACGCCCTTTTTCAGGGGGAGATAATCATGAATTAGACAAAAAATGATGGCATTTTTAAAAAAAATCTTCTTCTCAAGAACCACCAGGCCAGGAAAGATGAAACTCATGTGGAATCATCCTCAGGTAGTGTAGATTCAAGTTTGTCTAAATCATGACCCCCGGGGGTAGGGTGGGGCTAAAATGGCCAATCAAAGTTTTACATAGGAATATATAGGAAAAATCTTTAAAAATCTTCTTCTCAAGAACTACTGGGCCAGGAAAGATGAAACCAATGTGGAATCATCCCCAGGTAGTATTGATTCAAGTTTGTTCAAATCATGACCCCTGGGGGTAGGGTGGGGCCAAAATGGCCGATCAAATTTTTACATAGGAATATATAGGACAAATCTTTAAAAATCTTCTTCTCAAGAACCACTGGGCCAGGAAAGATGAAACTCATGTGGAATCATCCCCAGGTGGTATAGATTCAAATTTGTTTAAATCATGACCCCTGGGGGTAGGGTGGGGCCAAAATGGCCGATCAAAATTTTACATAGGAATATATAGGACAAATCTTTAAAAATCTTCTTCTCAAGAACCACTGGGCCAGGAAAGATAAAACTCATGTGGAATAATCCTCAGGTAGTGTAGATTCAAGTTTGTTCAAATCATGACCCCCGGCGGTAGGATGGGGCCAAAATGGCCGATCAAAGTTTTACATAGAAATATATAGGAAAAATTTTCTTCTCAAGAACCATCGAGACAGGAAAGATGAAACTCCTGTGGAATCATCCCCAGGTTGTGTAGATTCAAATTTGTTCAAATCATGACCCCCCGGGGGTAGGGTGGGGCCAAATGACCACTAAAAGTTTTACATAGGAATATATTGAGAAACCTTTTAAAATCTTCTTTTCAAGTACTTCAAAGCCATGCTTAGTGATATTTATAGGGAATCATCCTCAGGTAGTGTACATTCTAGTTTGTTCAAATCATGACCCCCTGGGGGATTAAAATTCAACCCCCCCCCAGTAAACTTTCAGTTCTGATCTGATATGTGCTTTTTCCTAGCCAATTGCTCAGGTGAGCGATGTGGCCCCTGGGCCTTTTGTTTATTTTGTTATACTATCCCTTTGATGAGGGTAAAGTCATATACAATTTTCTTTTTCAATACATGTATTTAAATCAAAAGTAGAATTTTTATAAAGTAACATGTTTGTATTTGTATCTATTCATTTTTTTAACGAAGGTTACATGTACGTTCAGGCTTAATGAAATAAATGGAACAATTTAAAAACAAAATCTGAAAAAAAATCACTAGCAAGGTAGTACGGAATATTGTATCTTTCTGTGCTAAAATGAAGTGTTCATGAAATTCAACAGTGAAATCATTTTATAAAAAATACGGCATCCTACAAAACTTTAATATGTAAACGGCATTAATAACAAATGAAATTAGTTTAAAAAATTAATGCCTAAAATTGATAGTCTAGTATGTTTTGTTATGTGATATCTTTATTTTCATATACATCTTCATATGATATGTTTGACAATTTTTTTTTTCATTTTAGTAATTAATTGACCTATTTTATACCTCTTATGAATGTTTGTCTTTAAAAAGAAAGAAAAAAATCATGCTCTTTAAAAATGACCGAGTGTAAAGTGGGATAATGCATGAAAAGGATTTAAAAAAAAACTTTTAATATACGTACGTTGTTCTGCAAAAAAAGAATCTTTTTAAATGATTCATGCAATGATTAATTTTTTCTCCAATATAGAATAAAATAAAATCTTTGTTCCGAAACTTCCTTACGTGCAGTAAGCAATAGGCGTAATTTAATTTCAATGCAAAAAAGAAGAGAAATAATTATGGGTTATCGAAATTATAACGAGGACCAATATTCACCAATGTAAGTTCAATAACTCTTTTATTATATAGCTAAACATTATCTCATAATCTTTAATAATTCAATTTTGTTTGTATTCTCGCCTCTCATTGGTTGATTTACAAAAAATGAAACGCAAATTATTTTGTATAATCTGGTTTGGAATGGGGCACACCCCCTGGACGACCAGCTTCATCTTCTTATCCATGTAATCGCCCCATTATCAGTCCACGGAATCCATAGAAAATTCCAGATTTCATAAATGTACCTTTAACTTCAAACAGTTACTCGATCTTCCCTCATGTAAACAAACATAATGGCTACTAAATCTATGTAGCAGTTATTACCTCCCCTCGTTTCCCATCACTTTTGTTACAAAGGTTGTCTTATTGCGCGGTAAATTTGAACTCATGAAAAGCAGGACAATTTTTACATCCCAAGCTTTTTTATTATTTTAAAATTGAATTATGAGAAATGACTCTTATTCTTGTCCAAACTATCGAGTATAATCTGGTTTTGGTCAGTTTACGCTTTTTTATAATCCGCTCAAATTGATAATTTTTAGCATTCGGTATTCAATTTAACGACGATCAGTATTGCATCATACCGGTGACCCCACGATCGTTATGATTTGCGTATTTAGGTTTTAATGGGTTTAATATATACTTAATAAAAATTTCATTTTTGCGTAAAACATAAACACATCTTACCTAGATGCCTCTTCTTTTCTTTCATTAAGCGCAGAGAAATTGACCAGACGACTTTTTTTATTAACAAATGGGCGTTGTATATTGGGCGCTCATATTCGGAACGTTTCGGGCATACTTGTATACGCAATTCAAACTCAGCGTTCAATAAAACGTCAAGATATTGAACCCTCAAATTCCGCAGATTCTTTTGTAGTATTTTATTAGAGAAAATTTATTACCTATATAATAAACTTAGATTATTACTTTTGTAATATATAAGAATATTTTTAATCTATATCTGGATATTTCTATTAAATTATTATTAGAAATAATCCTCCTTACATGTTTCATGTAGCGAAAAAAGAACAAATTCTTGGCTAAATAAAAAAAACTACATTATAAATTTATTTGGAGGAATCCAAATTTTGATATATTCAAATTTCCCATTTGCTAATAATTGCATCTTTAAGTTGAAGTGTTTCAATTTTCAGTATCGTCATCAACATGTACACTGGCCTCAAATTTCCCAGAACAGATAAAGAGAACATAGCTTGTATTGTATGTGTCTATTAATTTTATACATATATATTTATGCTCGTATAGTAAATTCTGAATTAAAGAAAACAAAAGAAATATTTTTGTTATTATAATGTTATATATGTATAATAAAAAACGCCTAAATAATACGTTTCAAACTTAACTTGCTCGATGAAATTTCAATTTTTTATCAGCAAAACAGAGAAAACCCGCTTGTTTATCTGGAATTGATTATTACTAAGTTTTGTTTGTTTTAATGTGAATTTTCCATTTTTATTTGATCCTTCAATTTACATTTCCATGTAAAGGACAGTATTTCTTCTTAAAGTACTGTTTATATAATAACTAATATGTTACAAAATACTTTTGTTTAAAAGTAAGGTTAGAATTCACTTCAAGCGAAAGTAATCTATTATTTATTGAATATTTTTTATAGCAAAATAAAGAACGAAAACCTCCCAACCTTCCAAAACCACCATCATCAGTCGAAGGATACCATTCTCAAATAATTATTTCACGAATAAAACTGTCAAAGGTTATTTCAAAAATTAGATGAGGTTTTACTCTATATTTAACCACCTTTCCTGCATAGTAACGCATATACCGTTTCCTATTTCTAACGCAAAATCACCCAAAATACCCTTCCCCACAATCAGGCATTTTCATGCATTTTCAAAAGTACATTTAAACTCCAATTCAATATCAATTCCCTTCTATTTTATACTTGCTGAAATCTCATAAAATAAGAAAAGTTTTAATCTTATTAAAGATATTATGTCAATTTAGAGAAACTTGTACTGCACCATAAAGTGCTTGCGGGGAAAAGGTGACGTCATATTTTTATGATGTGAACATTAAGTATGTTGCATAACTGTTCAGTAAGTTGTAAAAATTTAATGAGCTAACATGATTTGTTTGATTTTCGTTTACAGCATTATTTAAAAATAGCACATAAAATAATATTTCTAGGTGTTGAATTGTTTTTTTTTTTTTTTTTTTTACATGTCTATACTTTTTACTTTTATGATAATTCTGGTGCCTGACGTATCATCACATCATTACTATGAAGTAAGCTATATTCATCTACATATTTAAATTTTATTCAATTTGTGTAATATAATGACATTTCATGTAAAACAAATGTATTTAAAGTTGGAAGAAGACATTAAACTTGCTGAGTTTGCAAACAAGACGGCATATCTCGCTTCCAAAATTTCCTTTCATTTAGGAATAACTTCTTTTGATCCTGAAAATATAACGGCATATCATATTTACGACTACCACTCAAATATGAAACAAACGAAATTGATTATTCCAAAGAGTTATATATACTTTCATCTTTAAAATTGGAACCCAAATGTATTTTGCTGAAAACATCAGATGCATCTTCCCTTCTTCTATTTGATGAAAATACCATTTCTACCGGAAGTTCTTTAGTGTTCCCTTTAAGAAAATTGTCGAATTCCTACATCATTGCTACATCGACACCTTTTGATGATAGCCTCGATTCTGCAGCGCAGTTTGCTATCGCAGCAACAAAAGATGATACACAAGTTTCTATCACTTTCAAAATGGATGTGGACAGAAAATTTGAATACGATGGAAGAACCTATCAAAATGGAGATGTGATGCATTTAACGATGCACCGATTTAGAACATTCCAATTTGTCCACAAGGCGATTTTTACGGGAACAACTATTAACGCGTCATATCCGGTGGCTGTATTTTCGGGAAATAAGTGCAACCGACTGGGATACCTAGGAACATGTAGTAAACTTATCGAGCAGATTCCTCCTATAAACAGACTTGACAATTCCTTCATTGTACCTCCAACTGTCGGAAGGTTAGGGTTACAAATCCGCATGGTTTCCCCATTCAAAAATAACATGAGATACCGAGTCGGAAAAATGTCAACGACTACAACAATTGTGGAAAATGGCTTTCATAATTTTATCGTGAAAAGTAACGAGGTTGGCGTAATTGAGTCACAGAACAAACTTCTTGTTACTAGTTTTGCCATACCGACTGATAACAAATACCTGGAATACATAAGTATCTAAACAAGTATTTAGTTGTAATCCCCGAAGGCTTTGACCACAATTACATTTCGATTGTAATTCCAACTTCATCTTTTCAGAATCTTAGAATCAATTTTGCGAAAGTTAACGAAGTTTATAAAGTTTTTGATTCGACTGTGGGTCTGCAAGGAAAAACCTACAGTGTAAGTGTGGTGAAAGTTAAACCTGGAGTGCTGGGTATACGTACTGTTGACAGGGTTCCGTTTGGGCTTGTTGTGTATGGACATAGAATGAATGATGGTCATGGTTTTGCTGGAAATGTGCTCCTTCCTGATCACTGTGTCTAATTAATTTAAAACAGTGAAATACCCAGTGAAAATCAATAGCCTCCTATTTGATTCATGATGAATCATCAAATTTCCATCCACCTATTTTTTTTCTTGTGTAGATGGGTAAGCATCTTGTTTTATTACATAGTTTTTTTTTCTAAATAAAAGCAATTCTAAATTTTGAACGATATCGAATAGTTTTGAAATAAAACAACATATTGTTCATCTCTTATTAAAGAAATTTTGCATCAATGGGTTAAAACTATTTGTTTATATATGCAAGTTGAGGCATAGTTGCAATGTTCAAACATGAATTATTTGTACTCATATTTGATTTTCATTTTACTGTAATCTTTTTATTTCCGCGTTGCATATGTAAGGCACTTTGTTTGCTGTCACAATTTTCCCACAGAAAAATGTCTAGAGGTCGTTAAAGAAATATAAGGCAAGAAGACATTTAAAAACCTAACATACGTTTGAACAGAAAATGAAATTCCTTGTAATTATGACCCCGTTTGTTAATTAAAAGCTTGTATATTTTTAACATTCTGTGATTTATTTTATCTTATATTGAGACTCATTAAAGGCGTCATTGTATGCAAATGAAGGTCTTCAAATTTAGTTCAATGCTTTAAACTTACGACAATTGACTAGATAGTTTTCATTTCTGTGCCAACGCCAACTGTCAAATAGGATCTCCATCTTTAATCCCAAATCTTAATGACCCGTTGTTTTGTTTCTAATGCACCATGCTTGTCGAAGGAACAGTTACTTCCTACATTACATGTAATGTCCATTTCCTTAATTATTCAAGAGGTATTTAACCTATCAAATATTTTTTTTATTATAACTTTTTTAATATCACTTTAATATTTTCATTTACACAGGAAGAAACAAGACCTTTCAGTTAAAACTGAAAGGCGGCTTTCAGTACCTTTTCAGTGGCCATTCAGCCACTGAATGGCACATACATTTCGGTGACCTTTCAGTTGCCTTTCAGTCACATTTCAGATACCTTTCAGTCACCATTCAGCGGACACATTTCAGTCAACTTTCAGTGGCCTTTCCATCAACTTTCAGTGACCTTTCCATCAACTTTCAGTGACCTTTCCGTCGTCTTTCAGTGACCTTTCCGTCGACTTTCAGTGACCTTTTTGTCGTCTTTCAGTGACCATTCCGTCGACTTTCAGTGACCTTTCTGTCGTCTTTCAGTGACCTTTCCGCCACCTTTCAGTGATATTTAAATCGCAATTTCGTAATTTTTTCACTAGCGTATTATTTTATAATCAGATAGTTTTCCTTAACAAGGAAGCCATATTTTAGATAAAGATTTATTATTCAATCTTACTTGTGTTTTTTTTTACTTATCGTGATCAAATTCGGGTACCTTTAAATATGTCTAGGTAATTATTATTGATAATTACAAGAATAAATAAATCGCTTATACATGCCTCTTGTAAAAAAAAATATATAGGAGATTTTAGCTTTCTAATGATATTGCTTTAATAAAATCATTCTACTAAGTTTTAGATAGAGAATTTACAATGATCTTAAATCTTTGACACAGGAACAGGTGCCGGTCTCTGATAATTGTCATCATTCTTATAGGAGATGTGTAATTAATTTGTCTATCCCCAAAATAAAATATGTGAGACTTATTCAAAATGATTTTTAATTGAATATTTCTAGTTACATTAAGAAAATAAATTCTTCAAGTGATAAAAAATGATGATCCGATAACTGGTTCAAAATTTAAATAAATGCATAACATTCTATAGTCCTTATACATGTATTTTGTCATGGAAATAAATAGGTCTGATTAATGAGACAGAATTAATATTATTTAAACCATTTCTGGAAGATCGCAAGTATTACTGATCAATTTCGTTTCTTAATTATGTAATTGTCAAAACTGCAGGATATTTATTTTTTCAAAGACATTATTTTAAATTAATTTTTAATTACAAGAATAAACAAATCGTTTATACATGCCTCTTGTAGAAAAAAATATATAGGAGATTTTAGCTTTCTAAATGATATTGCTTTAATAAGATCATTCTACTAAGTTTCTAGCTATAGAATTTACAACGATCTTAAATCTTTGACACAGTAACACTGTAACAGGTGCCCGTCTCTGATAATTGTCATTATCCCGATAGGAGATGTGTAATTAATTAGTCTGTCCCAAAAATCCGCGCAACTAACATAGAATATACAAAAGATATACAAGATATATACACATCGCAGCTCCTCGATACAACAGGTGAACTGATTGTTCCATCGATTTCAATAAATTAATTGATTTTAAATTTCCATTTGTCCCTTAAGAAGTCATAGCGTAATTGATAAGGTTGCGGACATCTACGCAGGAGACCCAGGTTCGATTCTGGGCATGGGATGATTTTTTTTTCCTGTATTAATTTTTTCCTATTTTTTTTTATTCGGAATTAGATACATTTAATGCTATTATACTAAGAAAAAGTGAAATAAAATTTTTAGGTTAAAAAATAAGCCGATTATTCAATAAAATGATTCAACTGAATGATCACGGAAAGGTCACTGAAATGTATGTGCCATTCAGTCGACTGAATGGTAACTGAATGATCACGGAAAGGTCACGGGAAAGGGTCTTTTCAGTGACCTTTCAGTGACCATTCAGTGGCCATTCAGCCACCATTCAGTCGACTGAATGGTGGATTTTCATCCTGTGTTAGTGCAATAAAATGGTTCTCCATTATGGCTGCTCAGTTAATAAAAACCTCAATCCGTGGCCAAGTCATGAATTCAAAACCCTGATCGCGACTGACAGAGGTCGATATAAAGAAAATAAGTAAGAACTGTAAGTGGCTAAGCGGTCGGCACTGAATTGAAAGATTGGGCTCTTTTAAAGGAGACCTTACAAAAAAGTCTCCTCTGTGTCACGATAGACTTTGGCAAGGTATGAAATCTCTAATATTATTTCTTTCCGCTTTTTCAAAAGCCAGTTGATCTTATATGCCTATCGTTCTGTCTGTTAATGAATCCGTCACAATAAGTTTATTCTTTTGAATGAGTACATATAAAGCTCTTGTTGTCACATCTGGATAACCTCTGGCAAGACCTTTCCGTCGTGACGTCGTGGTTTGTCCTTAAGGTTTGTCCTACTTATTAAAATATTATACCTTTTGACCTCATAATTTATAATGAGTAAAGACAGTTTTTTTCAAATTTCATATATACACTACTTTTGATAAACCCATTCTAAATGGGACATGACTTTTGACCTCATGACCTTGGAGTTTGACCTTCAGTATATTTATGCAAGATGATTAGATATGACAGGCAAGACATTTTAAATATTACATAGATGTTTACACTCAAATCAATAAGGCCCTGAAGGCAAAGGACTACAATTTGCCGAATCTGTTTGTGAATAATGATATGAAATATTTTTTCCAAGCACTTAACCGATTCATCAATGTTACAAAATGCAAAAAAAGTTAGATCTGCCGAATCCGGATGTGGGTGCCGTCTGAACAACCTGCAATTATCCGAGGTTTTTCTTTTCAGTTGTTAACGGGACAGCTACGTATAATAATTCTTTATAAAGAAAAAAACGCAGAAAAAATGCTCTAGATTTAAGCATATTTCCTGTTTCATTAATATTTTGTGTTTATTTCGTAATATTTTGTTCGATACATTAATCTTGTCAGAAAAAAACAATTTGTCATTGAATCAAATCTTGACTTAGGTTCATCATAGTAATTGTTATTGTCATCATGTCCCGATGATGGCAAGAAGTACAAAGTGTGACCTGTCGGCAGGGGTACTCCCTCCTCCTTTGCATCTGATCCCACCACTGATGCTTTGGAGATCCGTGTGTGTCGTGCTCCTATTTTGTATTGTTTTATGGACTTTCAAGCTTGAATACTGTGTGTTATCTTCATATATTTCATTGCATTGTATTCACCATAGATAATATACACTGATATCGTTTGCTGTGTCGATTAACTTTCAATTGAATAATTAAGGCACTGATCCTGCTCACACCAATTAAATTGGGAAGTATTATGCAGTTCGTCTTTTCTAATGCTATAGGCTTTAGGCTATAGACATATGAAAAATTTTAAGTTAGAATTTCCTTGTAGGGATTTTAATTTTATTTTTAATAAAAAATAAACCAAATCATTAACTTTGCAACCATGATATGGAGAGGTTTCACTTGCATATTTTTGCTGTCGCCTATGTTTAGTATCATAAAACATACTAAAGGGTATGGTAAGTACTAGATATTTATGCTGTTATTTAATCTAGTCAGCTTTGGCTAGAAAAGCAGTCAAAAATTTAAGGGCCAAACTACTGATTTTTCATATATGAAAATAACACATACTGGTAAGTTATTAAAGCTTAATGCATATGCCTCAAGTTTTTAAAATTATTGGCAATTAAAAGATTTGAAGAAGAAAGTGCAGTTTTGGCTTTATTGTGCCCGAGAAATTTCATGTTCTTAAAAATTATAAAATTGACTTTAACAAGAGTACAGCAAATGAATAATCATTAAAGAATATGGCATGAAAGAAGGTTAGTCTGGAAATTCTGGATCAACAGATCTTTCTTTTAGCAAACAAAACATTTATCAAAAAATGTATAATGTTTGACTTAGAATTGCCCATAGTTCGAAGAACATTCTTGAAGAATTTCAAAAATTCCCTAAATGTAGTTCTTTCTCCATACCGAAGAGCATATTTTAAATTCATTGCACCCTACTTAAAGACGGACGAAAATGTGGCTTAATGTTTTCAGTGTTTGCACTAGAGACTGGGAGTTAGCCGAAAATTCCCAATTCATGAGTTCGAATTCGGGAAGTGGAAACCGGTTTTTTCTGATGAGGTTGTTTTAACCGAGGTCCCGTGTTGTAGTAAAAGCTACCCCCTCCCCCCAAAAAGGAACTATTCAGGGGCCAGGGGTGATACGTATCGACACTTCCTAATATTCTTGCACAAGATGAAGAGATAGATCATGTGAATTTACACGAAAAAAAATATATGAATTTACATGAAGGAATATCATACCTACAACGGGTAAAATTAGATTTCGACAAGATTTATCTCCTTTGTTTTTTAGTTAACAATAAAGCATTAAAATTTCGTTTAAAATCCTGTTTATATAAAAAATAGAGAAAAAGAAAAGGAAGTAATTATTTGTTTAGCTATTGGTCTATAAAATATCGTTACACAGTGTTAGTTGCATCTAGTTTTTTTATATTAAAAATAAAAAAAAGAAATGTTACATTGACTTCCTGCTATTCACCCGTATCTCAATGGTTAGATTAATAACTAGAACACAAGTTGACAATCAAAAGGTTTTATGATAGTAAGGAAACAATTATAATAAAATCCTTTCAATGAGGATAAAATTTGAATACCGGTAATACATGTGTATTTCTATATAAAGAATAAATTAGATATCATAGTTTTTGCTTTATTCTGAAAAAAAAACCTGCAATGTTATTGAAGATTTACGTAATGTTGAAATTTGCAGGTGTGCGTGTTAAGTACTTGAAAATTTAAAATGCATCTGTATTTTTTTTAAGTTATGGAATATATCTAAATACAATCAATTAGCATCGAGAGTTCTTTCAGCTATATATACACCTCCTTAGATGTCACACGATTTGGTTGACCATATATTTACTTGTTGATTTATTTGTACATTGATATCTAATATTTATTCAATGATATCTTTTGCGTTACAAAGCAGTTTATTTAGTGCAGCATTTTTGTATCATATAGAAGTAAATTAATATCAGAAGTAGAAAATCTATGAAGCTTGAAAAGACAGGAAAATCTACGCTAAATACAGAATACCTGACGGTTAGTAATACCCTCTAGAACATTGATAGTCTATAATTCTAAAAAATGAAAATGAACTTTAGAAATCGAAATGCAAGTGTATATAAAATGAATATTTAAACAAATCTCGATCTCCCACATTTGTCACAAAAATTATCAATAATAAACTTCTGATTTATATTTAGTTTAGTTGGTTTGATTGTTTTGAACTGGAAGGTATTTTTCTGGAAATGCTAGGACAGATGCAAATGCCTGAGGAATGATAAGAATCTTGAACTTATTTTACTTTTTCTAAGTTGTTACTGTTCATTCATTTATTTTTAAATATGTTGCAAACATTTCGTTTGTTTAATTGTTTCACGTCTCTATGAGAATTGTGTTATTGATGTCCAGAAGTCACCATTTGCTTGTGAAGGACAGCAAATTAATACCTTTACTCGGCACTAACGGCGTTTGAGCAGTAACGGATCTTTTTTACGCCTACTGCAAATCTACTGCGGCTTGTGATTTTAGTTTATGTGATCTTATCCGAAAAATCTACATCCAAAGTGGTACGAGCCCGTGACTATAAAATAAAGTCCTCACTCTAAAAAAACGCACCAACAACTGTAAAACGCGGGTAACAGAATAGAACTAAATCAATTAAAATTACACCTTTTAAGGGAAGCAATTTTCAAAACGCAATTTTGTTTAAATAGTGTCATGATCATGTTATAAACCAATTCAACCGCTAATCTCAGTGTGTACACCATGTCATAAAACTATGTTTTTATTTGTGTTTTTATTTGTATGCATACATAATTATTTAAACTTTGCACAACCACAACAGACTTTTACATACAAACAACACTTTTATGAAACATCGTCTGGATTTGAGTTACAAATTATGGAATTTAGTTTAATTGCATCGAGTATAATTTTTATTTTCGAAAACTATGCCTTTAAAGGTTTAATTACCATGCTTCAGTAAGTATATGAAATCTTTTCTTTTAGTTAAATAAGAACATTGCCAATTTTGCAGCTCATTGTCATATAAGTTTAGGTAGAATTACAAGGTCTAGCATATACTTAAGGCTGTTAAAAAAGTTGGTTCCACATTTTTTTTCTTTTATTTTCGACAAAAATACGTTGAGAAGATATTTAAAATTTGTAATATAGAAGCCATTCTTGCAACTGATCAGATTTTAACCGTTTTTTGTTGTATCAATAAGGGAAGGAAAGGTATTAAAACAGATTATGTCTGTTCAGAAAAATTAGAGATGACGCATTTTTTGTGAAATATATGAAGCACACAGGTCAAAACATCCTTTTCAAACACTATGCAAAGATTATCAAATCTGTAAAAAATTTCAAACCTATTCTTTTGAAAAGTATGGCTGAAAAATTGCCGACTCGGCGTTAAACAATAAACAATCAATCAATCTTTCGAAAAGTGATCTATTGTTCTTATACGTAAGCTCATCAGCTTGTCATCATGATGCAAGAAAAGGTATGAAGAAACAAATAACAAGAAACAAGTAACTTACTCTTTATTTTCATTCAAAATGACTTGCATTTCTATCACTCGGGTGTTTTAAAAATGTTACATATATTTTCATTTGGACTAAAAATCCTATAATTTCCTGCTAGAAATGAATTGCTATAAATCTACAGCAAACTCTTGTGATTTTGTCAGATTTAAAAAATTCCTCTCTTTAGTTAAGCACTACTTTGACATTTTTTGAAAATCTTTCATCATGGAACAAACTTTTTTAACACCACTTATTTTTTCCTAGAAAATATTGCGCTTGGGAAGAACACGTGGCAATCCACGTCATTCGGAAATCATACATCTGACAAGGCAGTAGATGGATTAAAGGCAAACCTGTCTGGTCCTGGAAACCAATGTAGTATATCAAATAATAGACAAACAAAAGCTGAATGGGGGGGTAAATCTGGATAATATACTCAGCATTCGATCTGTAGTGATATACTATAGAACAGAAAATAGCATTTGGGGTATGTATATAACATACATAAAGTTTAAGAAACATAACGTATAGCTTTTACTGTAATTTGAGCTTGTCCTTGTTTCATATATTTCTTGTAAGTTTCTACTTTTTAAAATTTTTCCCACTTTAAATGACTTTATCTCAGGTATCATGATAAGTCTATATATCTTTTAATAATGACAAAACTTTTACATCTATCCTTCTAGCACCTTTCGTTAAAACTCTTCTTTAAGAAATTCCAACAAATTAAGTATATTTAAAAGTTCTTCACAAAATAATTTTTCCAAAACGGTCCTTAATATAGTTGAGAGAGGCACTGGTGTTATGAGGACGGGCCAATAGGCAGGAAGATCAATGAAAAAGCATTAGAAATGAACATAATCATTTTTTTGGAATTTGAAAACTAAAACAAAAATGAATTTTTTACAATACTGTAGATCACTTAATTTTCGCGGCAACTTATTTTCGCCAGATAGTAATTGACTCTTGATTAGCGAGACAAAATTTTCACGAATTGTGGTTATTGCTCTACTATTATACGCGAGAATTAAATTTATGCGAGCACATTGTCTTGCGTAATTGCTTTTACACGAAAATAAAGTACTAGCGAATAAAAAGTGATTTACAGTAGCATAAATTCATACCGAACATGATTATAATGAATTGACTCGTATATATCAGAGTTATTTTTATTCCTTTCGACTTAAAATATATATTAAGTATTTAACGGATATAACGAGTTATAAAAAAAAATTTCCGGCACATGTAATTTTTATAAGGGTGCTTTATTGTATTCCAGACTCCAGCAACCAATACCCCAGTAGATTTTTGGGATTCTCCCTCTACATTTCCAATTCCACCCAACGGAATAAGGGCCATTTGTGTTTTCATGACACAAACTACACAGTAAATACAATTCCATCTGTTGTGACCATAAGCTGTCCTGTACATGGACAATACGTTATATATTACAATGAAAGACTAGACGGAACATCGTACCCTGCTGGCTATTCAGAATATGCTTTCAATGAATTATGTGAAGTCGAAGTTTACGGTAAGCAAAAAAAACTATATTAATGTTAAGGAAATAAAGCGACATCAAGATAAAACTGTAATATTTTCAAACATTTGTTATTTCTTCGATATACAGTGATTACCAGGAATGTTTTTATGATGATTTTTGTTTATTCATCAATAAACTTTTTTTACACTTTAAAGTACCGATGTTAGACGTGATGTCACATACAAAGGACCCGTTAGGTACCTGTATTAGGTATGGGTATTATTAGATAATTGAAATGAAAGGTTATTACAATATTTTCTAAGGCTGTCCATTGCCAGGCTTCTATGGAAAAAGTTGTGACCAACCCTGCCCTAGCAACTGTCGATTTTGTCACATAGACACAGGCATATGTCAGTCATGTAAACCAGGATTTCAGGGATATCAATGTGGAGTTCGTAAGTACATAAAGAAATAATAATGGGTTTTGTGCTTTTGATCATCAAGTTTTTTTTTTCAATCAAAGATGTCGAGTGATACTAGTTGCAGGGAAAATTTGATCCTTTAAGCAGTGGAATTTCATTGGTTTACTTAAAAATCGATTTCTTTTCATAAGACAAATTGAACAGTGATGGGGTAGAAACGTAGTTGGAATATCTTTCAATAGGTCATAAATCCATCAAACAACTGATGTTTAGATATACATGTAAATGTGCAGTCAGAACTTGTAACTTAAAGGTGCATGGACAAGAATTTGAAGTTAATATTTTTTGTATAGTATCACGACTTATATATTGAAATAGCATTCCACTCAAAAAGATATTTAATTTTTTATTTCAAATTTGAGTTATTTGAACTTCAAAGATTTGGGTGGGTTTGATTGAGACATAGAACCAAACTTTCATTTTCAAATAGGATAAGGTTGATTATAATATATACTCTTCTCAAAAAAAGAAACGCATAGTAGGAACAATACCTTGAAAAATGTATGATAGTTTTGTCATACCTTTTATTTTTGTATGGATACGATGTATTTGAGTGAAATGCATGATTTTTTAATGCAATTGTTAACTTTTCAGCTATTCTACAAGTCTCACAGACAAAAAGACCTGATTTTGCAAATTTTCCCCCAAAATTATTATCTCAATTTTCATTTGTTGAATTCCGATGCAATTCCATCAGGTACAAAGGGGCTATCAAAAGCGGGGGTTCTCGAAATTTTGAATCTGGTTTTATCTAAAAAATGACGCTTATTAAAAATGCTGCATCTGAATTTTGCGTAGCACAAAAAGGAAAATGGGCGACTGGAAGCAGAGATACCGCAGTCTACAATTGCAAGAGGTTTTAATGTTACACACAGACAATATCTAACCTATAAAACATAAACCATTAACATCGAACTCCCAATGTTCGCAAAAAATATGGTAGACTAAGTATGACGTCAGCAGCACAGCATCACTTCCGATTGTGAACAATTAATGCTAATATTTTTTTCAAAAAATACGTAAATTGCATGAATGTAATGCAAGGACGTCATCTAAAGCATTAGCTATCCCTGAACAGCACAGATCATCTAACACGACCGTTTTCAGTTGACTATGAATTATTGCAAGAGGATTATTCATGCCATTGTTCCGACCCCACAACGCCCCAAATATCGACTTCAAAGATCTCAGACTAATAGAGTATGACCACAGCATCACTGCTGAACATTTTGGTTAACCTACTGGTCCAGAATGTTTATCTGAAAGCCTCTTATAAGTTTAAGAGTGCTTCTGCTTTGTAATGAATGTTAGACAGATTACTGCCTCCAGGACGTTAGAAAAGTTGGTGGTGGTAGTGTAATAATATGGAAAACGGTATTATAAGAAAGTAAGATTGATTTGGTTCGAATTCAATGGACTTTGATGGAAAAAGGTACTCTAACAATGTTCTACCTACACATACCATTCAATTTTGCAGCATCCTAGAGCCGTATTGCAATCTCACAATATACAGCCACATATGGCTCGTTTAACACACCTATTCTCGCAAAGAAACAACAACCTGTTTCAGCCAGAGTCATCTAAATCGCTAGATTTAATCCAAATTAAGCAGCATTGGACAAAATGGATTAACATGATTTGCCAAAGACAATCGCATCCCCAGACTCTGCAACAGCTGACCAAAGTTCTACATTTAGAGTTGGAGAGTATTGCTATACAATTTTCATTACACACAATTGCTTCCATTAGATGCCCTTTGTGGCTATCATTTGTGTCTGCGGGGGGCATACCAGATATTGATCTCTAATGGTCTTAAACTGACTATAATTTTAGAATTGTTGAGTAATTATGACATTAAGATAGTATTCCTGTTGTTTACCACATTTCTGTTTTATCACTGCATCATCTTACTAAATAATATTTATGTTCAATGTGTCACTAAAATTCTACTATGCGTTTCTTTTTTTTTTTTGAAGAGTATATTTAAGGTATATGTACGAAAACTAGGTCCTAATATAAGTAAGATATTTTAAACCGTTTTATTCCTAAATTTTTAGTGACAGGAACATATACTATCTAAAGCAAGAAGAATCATTTAAAGCAAATGTGTAACTTGGGGCGCATGGCGTTTGTATTCAAATCTTAAGTTTTATTTTTCTTGTTCTGTAAAATTCTAGAACAAATCCCTTTCCTTTATTATATAGTAACTTCTTTAAGGATCAAATAACAATCTTTACAAAAAATCGTGCTGATATAGGTTCGCATACTTTACTTTCTTTAAAAAAATGAAATTAATACACATTTAGATTTTATGTCTGTGTAATTTAAGATATTGTTTTCTGGAGCATTTGTGACATAACAATCTTTTTTCAATTATTCAAATGAATAAAAGTAAAAATAAAAAATATGTACACAAAAATAAAAATAAAAATAATTGATTTAAGCGTGTGGTGTCCGAAACTATGGTGCATTCTGTTCAAAGCATTGTGGGAACTGTACTTACGGAGAAAGGTGTCATCCAGTGACTGGAATCTGTACAAACGGATGTGACGTAGGAGTTTATGGAAGCAAATGCAAAACAGGTAAGGCTTAGAATTCTGAATATAAAACAGTGTATACATGTACATATTCTTAATTTAGTTTATAGTTTCAACATATTTGTAGCCTGTCCCGACGGATATCATGGAAGGAATTGTACTGAGGTATGTGGTCACTGCGATTTATGTGACAGATTTACTGGAAAATGCACTACTCATTGTTATGCTGGTTGGAAAGGAGTCACCTGTAATGAAGGTATTTTAATAGTTTTCTTTTTCAAAATTAAAATTACTTTCTTCCTTGAATGTACTATTATATATTTCATTTTACTGTTTCTTTTTGTTTTTGTAGTCCGCGTGGCGCAGTGATTAGAGCGTCTGCTCTAGAATCGCACTAGGTGCTTGCACGAAAAAGATCCCTCAGTGCTCAGTGGCCCTAAGTTCCGAGTACAGTTCAAAGTTTGCAGCTCTAAATCTCCACCGGCATATGGTGGCCTCTCCATATGAGTGAAACATTCTCGAGAGGGACGTTAAACAATTTACAATCAAATAATCGATTACTCTTTTCGTTTTTTTTATTCTGGCGGAAAGCAGTTTTAAATTTAATAGAGTTTGAAAGCATTGTGTCACTTTTTTATGTCTAAAAATAATTGGTCACCAGGTGTCGTTTTTTGCACATATGAGAGATAAAAATAAAAATTCCCCTGTATCGTTGAACCACGACTATCATAGGAATATACTTCTGTAATGTTATGAGTGTGTTTTGTTTTTATTAGTTGCTATAAAGTGTTGAAAAACTATATTATTATTTTTTGGAAATGGCCGGGCTACTAAGGGAAAAAAGTGATTTCTCAGTCCGCCTACTGCAATTTGATTGAACGGCAGTTTGTCATGTTTCTTGCTTATTACCTACTTATACATTTTCCTGTATATGTAGTTTATTTTTATCCAATCAGCATTCAATGACGCAAGTAAATTAAGGCAACGTATAGAAAATTCTATGCAATTGACTAAGAAGAAGGTATGGTTTTAGCTTTATTGTGCCCTAAAAATGAAAAAAAAATGATAAAATAAAACGAAGAATTATTTTGCATCTTACATAATGCGTATTAAAACCCACCCTGATGAGATGCACATCGCTGAATTCTGTGCCAATAACTCTAAATACCCTTGACTAATTTAACTTTCATACCCTTGCAAATTTAAACTTGAAAACATATTCTATGAAGCTATGAAAATATATTCACATGAATGACGGTAAATAATAATTCGAATTGAATTCTCTTTTTATTATTTTCTGTACGTAAAGAATGTGACAGATTCATGTATGGATTGGAATGCAAAGAAACCTGTGGAGAATGCCGAAACTCAAAGCAATGTCATCATGTGGATGGAAAATGTTCAGAGGGGTGTGCACCGGGCTTTGCTGGTTCTCTGTGTAAAACAGGTAAAATAAAGCCATTAATACTTAATGTGAAAAATGAGTTCTCTGTGTAAATTATTTCGAAACAGCTTTTTATCTGTATAAAATAGCTAAGAACAAAAAATGCTCTGTGTAAATGAAGTTTTGAACAGCTGGGCAATTTGAAAAAAGCAGGTAAAAAGCAATAGTTTGTGTGAAAGAGATGTAAGAATCCATCCTTCGTTGGTTTGGAAAATTGAAAAGACTTAAAGGTGCTCTTTATGAAACAGATTAGATCCTCTTAAGCTTTGTAAAAAGGGGTACGAACTTATAGTTTCCTTTCAAGGTTGTAAAAATCACTAGTTTACTTTGTTTAATATTAAAGGACCAATGGTTTTCAATATAAAAGGGACAACAAATTCGGTATCTAAATCTGATACTAAAACAGATACAACTCTCTATGTCACGAAGGTTAAATAGCTCTTCATCTCCTCATTGTAACAAAGGTTGTTCATTGGGATGGAAAGGGATGCTGTGTGACAAAGGTACATAAGATACTGTAAATGACTTATTTTTGCGTGCGCGAATGCACTCTTGAACGTCAAATCGCAAAATATAATGATTGCGAATGGGAGATTGATCAAGAGGATTAACATAGATTTCAGCATCATTATAATAAAGGTGAGTAATTTTATTTCGTGTGTGATGCTTCTCGCGAAATTTTGCGATAATTAATTCTACGCGTATATTTAGGAATTAACAATTTACGAATCATCAATTCATATAAAAAAATATTCAGGGCAACATTCATTATGTTAGTCCTATAAAGGGTGGAATATTTTTTCTTAAAAGTAGATACAATAATCTATTTGTTAGACAGATGATAATTGTTTTATCATAAAAACCAAAAACAAGTCATTAAAACAGTGTTGTTTTTATTATTTTTGTACTTCATGTATTATATACAATCTGACTGTACAAACTATATCCAAAAATTTACTACACGTGTACTTTTTATTTACTGCGACGCCATGTTTCTTTTTTTTCGTCGCGATGGTATCGCTTTGTTCAGTAAATCATTTTTTCGCCCGACTGGTTAAAATGGTTTGTTCCAAAACTTTATTAACTTCTACGAAGTAATCATATTTTAATGTGTGATCTTTAAAATAAAATTTAAAAAAAGCATTGAAATTGACACTTTACTAGAGGAAAAACTCTCACCTACCTACCAACCCAATAGACCGAGTCTGGAGAGGGTTAACAACATTTTTTTTAAAGTTGGCCTAATAAGATTTCTAATGAATAAAATAATTGGGTAAACTCCCTCTATCGATAATACTGAAAATAATTTGGCCATAAATATGAATTTAACAGTAACCAACCATTCAATATACATGTAAGTGCTATTTATCTACACAGTTTACATTAACTTTATGAAATTTAAATGGGTTTTTTAAAAGGTGTGGTTTGAATGAAATAACCTTTCTAATTGGTGTATTTAAAATTTGATCCTTTAGAGAAACCCGACAAATGATTTTGATTATTGAACTTTTTCATAATGAAATATTTTGGAATGTTAAACCATTAACACATATCATTTTGAATAAAAAATACTTTTTTAAAAAAGGAAACTAACGAAGAAATTATGAATTAAACACGAATGAATTGATTTATAATATCATACGGTAGGATTCTTCTCTGGTTTCTGGCTAGATAGAATATTCAAAGCTATTTGTTGATATGTCATATATTTGGATGTAAGAGATAAGACCTTATTTTCCTTTTCTCATCTCAATTATACAACTTTAAATAGAAATGATAAACTGTGTTTGAAAACTAGCAGGAACTATATTTTTGGCGGAATGATGGCGTATGAAAATATCTTCTTTTCTTGCTCTCGAAATTATTATAGAACATTGAATTTAGTTATAATTTTTACGTCAAAGACGAGACAAAATTTTCAAATGTGAGTTAAATTAATAATAAGTGACTAAAGTTTCAAAATATATCAAATAAATAAGATTTTTTACACATACTAGAACTATGTTGGCTTTTAAATGTTTCAAATAAAAGTACATATTTTAGCCAAAAATCCGTAAAAAGTGTTATTTCTCTCTTAGTAAACGATCAAAACTTTTAGTTTTTATATCATTTTGTACCTTTATGTGACAACTTGACCATGTGTGAAAATTGGAAAAAGTTAAATATAGGACGCATATAAAAATAACTGATAAATCCTAAAAAATTAGGAAAAGTATCCATAACTATCAATTTTATTTAAATTATCCATGTCAGTTTGGTAATATTATCTTAGAGGCCCTATATTGTAGTATTTTTTATGCAAAAAGAAAAACATTCAATCCTTTGAATAACAAGTAGGTACTCCATGATTGGAAAGAGTATTTTTTTTATTCTTAATGTCCAGGAAAAAGGTAATGACCTTGACCTGATCTTGCCTCTAATATTAAATGGTCAAATTTAATCTAACTGATACCATCACTTAATAATATTGTCTTCTTAATTCTGTGAAAATTAAAACACTAAAACACTAAAAGTGCGCATCAGCGGATTACCGTTATCTGTAGATGAATCTGCGGTTACTGAGCTTTTGGACAAGCTTGGAGTCAATCTGAAAAGCAAAATAATGTATGAAAAAATAAGACACCCTGTGACTAACAAAATGACCAGCGTCCTTAATGGAAATAGATTCATGTACATCGAACCCCTTGAAAAGGATAAAGCTTTGCCTCGGGTTAATTACTGCGCTGGTCTACGCTGCCTTTTGTTTCACTATGGCCAACCTAAATCTCAGCGCAATATCACATGCACTCAATGCTGGGATACAGGACATACAAGACACAGCTGCAAAAATGAACCCCGATGTAAGGTTTGTAAGAACCCAGGACACAAACCTGGCGATCCAAAGTGCGCTTCATATAAAATTCAAGAGAATGTTGTAGCCTTTAACGGTGAAAATAACATTTTGTCAAACTTTTTTCCATGCGACCTAAATATTTTTGGAATGCACCATAAATCGGCAGAGCACGCATTTCAATATGCAAAAGCTCTAAGATGCGGAGACTTGGATGCAGCCAAATTTATCCAAGGGGCAACTGATGCCTTGTCCGCCAAACGGTTTGGTGATAAAGTAAAAGTAAACGATCAGTGGAATGTATCATGTGAATCTGTTATGACAGGAATCATAGAAAACAAATGCGCTCAAGTTCAATTGTTCAAAGAGAAGCTGAGAGCCGTAAAGAAAAACACAGTGTTTGCTGAATCCACGTTCAACGACAAATGGGGAACTGGACTCGACAAATCCGGTACAGAAAACACTAGAGCTTCTGATTGGCCTGGACAGAATCTTCTTGGAAAAATCATTGGTAAAGTGGACCAAAAAATCCGAAAACGTAAAAAGAGCCACCAATGGAGTCAGCCGAAACAGAGTTCTAGACAGCAAAAGAAGCATACCACACAGAAAAACATAGCCGAGATGATCCAATCTATGCGTAACGCAGCAGAGGTTGATTCTGCATCAGACGGTGAATCGTCCTCGGAATCCGAATCCGACCCTGGTGAATCGGCGAATGGATAACTCTCGTAGTCGGCATCAGGACAGATACTGGATCCACGCATTCGAACGGACTTATCTTGGACTTCCTTAAGAATTTTGCGGTATATATATATTTTTTTTTTCTCAAATGGTATATTTTATGTTTTGTAATGAAATATGTAGAAAGAATTGATTATGGAAAAGTTAAACTTTATTACAGTAAATGTAAGAGGTTTAAATACTGATGAAAAGAGAAAGAAATTATACTCATGGCTGTTTGAAAAAAAGTTAGATATTATACTTTTGCAAGAAACGCATTTTGTTGAAAAATATGAACATAAGTATAATCTCGATTGGAAAGGAAAAGCATATCATTGTTTTAGCGATTCTGTATTTAGTAAAGGTGTAACTATTTTATTTCGGGAAAACCTAAATATTGATGTTATCAATGTAAAAAGGAATATTTGAGGAAGAATATTTATGAATGTAAGATAATAGACATAAGAGATAGACACATAGCAGAATTTAGCTATAAATTATTGAATAATATATTATGTAACAATGCTTATATGAGTAAGTGGAAAAAAGATATTTCTTCTATGTGTATACATTGTAACAAAATAGAAAATGCGAAACATCTGATTTTGAATGTAATAATGTGTCTAATATATGGAATACTATAAGCAGTTTCTTATCAATTAAAGTTCAGTGGAAACATATTGTAGTTGGTTTTTTCCACGAAAAAAAATGATAAAACTAGATATCTAAATCTACTTATTACTTTTGTGGCATATAGAATTTACAAACATAAACTGTTATGTAGATTAGAATCTTTATGTGAAACTGAATACAATCTATACAATCATGTAAAAAAATCAATATATTTCTACGCCTCCGTATTTTGCTTTCTTGAGGCTAACACTGAACACAGGATTTTTGAAAATCTTTCCAAATTAATGTGAAAATTACTAATTCATGTATAAATACTACTGGGAAGGGACCTGTCTTCCAGTAGTGCTGTCAAAAAGGGGGGAGTGAATAGACTGTGAAACGTATTTGTGGCTCCCCCGGTTGACAGCTGCACTGAAATTATATCTTTACCTTAACTCATGTATATTGTATAAATATATATTTTTGAAAATAATTGAAAATATATATTTTACCCTAATTCATGATGTATACTGTATGAATATATTTGTTGAAAATAATCGAAATTATATCTTAAACTTAATTCATGGTCTTGAAATAATTGAAATTTTATCTTTGCCTTAATTCATGGTGAAATTATATCTTTACCTTTATTCATGATGCATACTGTATAAATGTATTTTTTAAAAATAATTGAAATTATATCTTTACCTTAATTAAAGATGTTTACTGTATATATATATTTTTTTAGGAAAAAAATTAAATGATATCTTTATCTCAATTCATGATATACTCTTAAATTTTTCTATATAATTAATACATGTAACATCCTGCGTGATGTCATAGGACACAAATATCATTGTTTAGAAGGAGCTTAGTCAGGGCCCCATCCCTGGCAGCTGCCTTATTTTTTTCTAGTTAGTCAATTTTTTGTTATAGATTAGGTCTGGGAAATAAATTGTTAAAAAAAAAAAAAAAAAAAAAAAAATTCTGTGAAAATTTCATACATTTTTAAATATAAGAAATGTGAGAAGAATCCTACCTTAATTTCACCTGTAACTTTGTAATAAGTTTTCTGTAAACAGAATGTGACAACGGCCATTATGATAAAGATTGTGGGGAGAAATGTAAAAATTGCAGAAATGAAACACAGTGCAATCATATGAATGGATCCTGCTTATATGGCTGTAAACCTGGTTACATGGGAGACAATTGTTTACAAGGTATTAAATGATTCAATAGTATCAAATGAAACGTCTTTATTTCATACGGTACATGAATGATTTTTTTTTGCTTCTTGGCATCCAATCAAAACCTACGTGTATAACAAACACATCAAACTTAATTTGACAATGCACTAATATTGTTTTGTTATTAAAATACAATGAACTCATTTCTATTTCTCTATCCAACTGTGGGACGTGGATAAGACCGTATAAACAGAGTGTCCGTGTTGCATGAGGTAATGGAACGTAAAAGATCCCTCACTGCTCAAAGGCCCACAGTGCCGAGTGTAGGACAAAATGTGCATCTCTTCACCGGCAAGTGGTGGCGTCTCCACATGATTGTAAAATGTTCAATGGGGAAGTTTAATAATCAATCAATCAGTCAATCAATCAATCATTTCAATCTAATTGGGTCGAGGATTTGTTTTACAAACATTAACATTGGTAAACATACTATTCAGTGGTAAACATACTAGTACTTGTGGCGTTGTAAGGAATATCATTAGATTTTTTTTTTATGTTTGCTGGGTGTGATATATCCACAATAATTGAAAATGCATTTCAAATATCTAAATATCTAAAGTTATTAAAAAAAGATGTTATTTATTCTTTTTTTTACCTGTTTGTTTTTCTTTTTATATTAAGTTTTTATATAGTAAAAAAAAGATATCTTTAATGCGTTTCTGTTTCCCAGTAGGTACACTATCTGTCTTTAAACAACACTCTTTTGCCTTTTTCTTTTTTACTTGTACAGTTCAGGCTGTTTCGGATTATCAATCCAGTTTTCATGGCGTTTTGGCTGCACTTTGTGTATGCGTACTGGTTAATATAGTTTTAGGAAGTATTCTTATTTTATACTGGTAAGTTGAATAAATATATTTAATGCTTTTCTTAAAATAATTTTGTTATTCTCGTTTCTTTGGTTAACATTAATAACAACATAATGTTTAGAAAATATTTATTTCGTCTTCTTGTAAACATTACTTATACTTTTTTATGTTTTCTTTTCATTTTACACTCGTAGAATAACCTAAGCTGTTTATAATTTTAGTAGAACATTATTTATTTATAGTTTCTATACTTTTAAAAAGCAAGAAAATAAAAAGAGTACAAATACAGAAGACTTATGAGGAAAATGGCGATTCTAGCAAAACCAATGATATACATGTATATGAAAGCACCGGGAACGGTACCAATAATCGATATGAAGATGTTGAAGATCTGAGTCAACCATCTAACTATGAGGACATGTTAAGTCCTTTGTAAAATAAAACAAAGAATAGTTAACTTATGAATGAATAAAATTATGCATTTGGTATCGTAGATAATTAATACTTCAATGCATTTTGTTTTCGGGGGTTTCAATGCAAATAAAAAGAAAAACATTGCAAATTTTGTACAAATATGTATAACAGAAGAACAAACACCTTTTTTCAAGTATTTGTGTACATATATGTAAAAGAAAGGAAAAAAAATCTGTAAAACATTGATACATTTAACAATCATGCTCATATTGTTCTACATGCATTTAATACTCATAAATCTGATAAATAAATCACCATAAATGCTTTTGCTAAGATTCAATACACAGTATGTGTACTTAGATTTCTATTTTAGCGGTTTTTGCGCAGACGAGGGTGCGCTAATTCATGAATGCAGCTAAGAATTCATTTATATATATAATATACAACAAGAAGGTGTGTAGCGCTCTTTCTTGATTACTCCAAAAACTTCACATCCATCGAATGCACTACATTTTAAATACGCCAAAAGATGTAAACGTACCCTAATTTATGATTTATTTATTTAAATTCACTTTCTTTTTCAATGCATTAAGAATTAAACAATCCAAAAATAATCAAATTTTCGTTATTTCTTCTTATAAGAACCGTTAATGGTAACTCATTCGGCAGAGCGCTCGCCCTGTGATCAGGAAGTCGTGAGTTCGTATCTCCACTGCGATTGACCTAGTCGATAAAATGAGAAGCAACAGTTCCTTCGCCATGCGCTCGGCACTTTGGAGTGAAAGTTGCGGGTCCTTCGAGTTAGACCTTAAAAACTGAGACCCCGTGTCAGCGGAAGGCATTGGCACGATAAAGATCCCTCAGTGCTCAATGGCCTTGAGTGCCGAGTAAATGTCAAAATTTGAAGCCCTTCACCGGCATACGGTGACGTCTCCAAATGAGTGAAAAATTCCCGAGAGGGACGTTAAACATTATACAATCAAAAATCAATCAATAAGTGACATAACCCTATTTCCAATTTCAAATCTAGAAGTCCTTTTTGAATTTCTCCAGAGTCTTGTAAATGTCTCAATGAACACGCCTTTGTGAAAAATTTCTATACAGATGAGAATTTAAATCAAATCTATTTCCAAAAAATATAGACTATGTTTATTTTTACTAAATCAATAAAGGACATATATACTAAAAAAAAAACAATTAAATCTAACTATAACAAAAATACGTCTAATATGAATGGAAACAAAAATCATCTCACCCCACGATCGAAAAGCATTTTCATGCTTCATTATATATTTTACGGATTGATTGATTGTATGTTGGTTAACGTCACTCTCGAGTATTTTTCACTCATATGGAGACGTCACCATTGCCGGTGAAAGGTTTCAGTTTTAAACATGTACTCGGCACTCAGAGCTATTGAGCAGTGAAGGTTTTTTTTATAGTACTAACGCCTACCCACCGTATACAACGGGTAACGCGGGGGAGTCGCTTAAAAGTAAGGGGGAGTCGTTTTCAACGGATGGGGGAGTCGATTTTCACCGCTTCGGAGTCAGAAGAGATGTGGGTCACGTCTTTTTTCGGTATATGTAAGATGTATCTACAAAATCCAACTAGCCCACGGAAGGTAGCAATAGTTAAGCTTTCTGTTGGTCATTTGTCCGGCTAGCATATACGTCTAGTTTTTTCAAACACTTCGAAACTATTCGACAGATTTCATATTTACGTTGATCGAGTGGTTAAAACATGCATAGTTTGCACAATCTACGACTTGTGTAGGGATTATGACAGTTAAAACAGCAAAAGCAAACGTTTATCTTTCAAATGCAACTATTCAAACTTGGCTAGACTTGATAAAAATTAATAATCAAGACGTTTTCTCTTCAGAGAGTAATGGTAACGTAGGGGGGAGTCGTTTCTGGAAAAACACAACGCATAGGGGAGTCGCACAATTGAATTGTACTGGGTTTTTTTTTCCGACTTTTCCTTTGCTAAATGCTTCCTTACATAATCATTTTGATATATTTGATAATTTTAGTAAAATATAACATGAATAAAGATCAAAATAAGCAATATGTACATGTAAAAATAAAAACTCGATTTATCTTTTCTTATTGTGAGTGAGTATATACATGTACCAGTATTTCATATATATTACTACACGTACATTTGATATGGTTTCTGCACGGATGAGCAGTGGCATATTCCAAAATTTTCAGCATTTTAAATTAAATACCGTTAGGCAGATAATGTCGAAGAAAAAAATAACTACAAATATATGGAGGGGGTGAAGGAAAGGGGACTTCAGCTTTGCTAATTTCCTTCACACATAACATCTAACTCTTCTAAAGAGTATACATGTATTTCGGGATGAGGGCATGATATTTTAATATTTTTCTCTCTCAATTCTTATAGCTCTTATAATAATTAGAACTTCAGACCCTGCCCTTACCCATAATAACAATTCTGAAATACATTTCACGGAACAGGCACGTAGTATGAAAGGTCTTCCAACGTTTTGTTGCAGAATAGTTAAATCATAGTTATATTTGCAAATGTGTTAATAAAAATTTGGTGAGAAACTCTGTTGTAACATTTTCTACCAACATTTTTTCTTGTCAAATTTTTCAGATAAGTTGTTTATAATTCTTTTTTTTTCATAGTAATTTATGAAAATTGTTATTGTAAAAAAAACTATAAGTTAAAAAAGTAAGGCCTTTCTATTGTTTTCCTGAGCGGTCATATAAATCTGCCTGACAGTGGAGTGAGCTGTTGGACCTGTCGATGAGATATTGACGGAATTGACCAAGTTGACCAAGAATTGACGCGCCGAGCGCGTGAACAAAATAATAACAATATAACAAATCATTTATCGATTGTTTTCGGACAAAAATGCTTTTTGTCGAACTCTAAAACAAAACTTTTTGCCTTCGGCCTAACAACCTCGGGCAAACAGTTTGGTTCTTTGGTCCGAAAAAACCCGCATGTTGCCCTCAAACCCTGTCTATGAATGTATGCATGGAGTACTGACTGTGTTTTACAAACCCAGATCATCCCAAATATTCTCACTTAAAATACGTCGGTTGTGCCTAAAGATGGGTTATTGTATATGATAAAATAAAAAAATAAAGATAAATTATTTATATGTCGACCAAATTGAAAGCATATAACAGTTTAAAAATTTCTAACCCCCCCCCCCCCCTGCCCCAAGAAAAAAAGAAGTCAAGGGGCTGGAATGCCGCGCCAGAGATTTCCACTTTTTTTCTAATAAAAAAAATGGTTGAAATTATTAATAAGAAATTTTCCATATTATAAATCTGATTTTTATGGAGAGGCTGTCATGGTTGAAAGTGGGGGTTCGTGATTTTGCGACTCCCCTATCCGTTGTGTTTTTCCAGAAACGACTCCCCCCTACGTTACCATTACTCTCTGAAGAGAAAACGTCTTAATTATTAATTTTTATCAAGTCTAGCCAAGTTTGAATAGTTGCATTTGAAAGATAAACGTTTGCTTTTGCTGTTTTAACAGTCATAATCCCTACACAAGTCGTAGATTGTGCAAACTATGCATGTTTTAACCACTCGATCAACGTAAATATGAAATCTGTCGAATGGTTTCGAAGTGTTTGAGAAAACTAGACGTATATGCTAGCCGGACAAATGACCAACAGAAAGCTTAACTTTTGCTACCTTCCGTGGGCTAGTTGGTTTTTGTAAATACATCTTACATATACCGAAAAAAAGACGTGACCCACATCTCTTCTGACTCCGAAGCGGTGAAAATCGACTCCCCCATACATTGAAAACGACTCCCCCTTACTTTTAAACGACTCCCCAGCGTTACCCGTTGTATTCGGTGCTACCGTGACCTATGTTTTTAAAGTCATATCCGAAATATCCATGACTTCAACCTTTAATGCCGAGTGTTTTTTTTTTCTTTCTTTTTTTTTTTGATTTCGGAAATAAATTTTTAAGAAATAAATGCCTCCATTTTAATATAAAAAAGTTGCTTTTTAAAAAATATTTCCGTTGAAATGGAGGTACGATTTGAAGCAACCATAACCGGCCGCATTGTAATTCGCTGGTCACTTTTAACTATGCTAACAATTGTTTACATGGTTCCACAGATGACTATCAATGCTCATCAGTACTGTCACAAAACGTGAAAAGTCAAAATAAGAAATCTAATTGACGAAGTTACCCAAACAATAATTTCATTTCATCTCAGATATAAAAAAGGCACAGAAATTATTTCAATTAAATATTTATTTCTTAATACAAAAAAATGGTGTTAATATTACCATTGGGGACTTTGACTGTACTGCGTTATTGATTTTTAATCATTATTATTTAAGTTTCATTTGAGTCTTTTTACAAAGAACTGATTTTTTTCAATCAAAACGTCAATGCAGTTGTCTCCTCATTGCAAACGACACTGTGCAGCCATCATAAAAAATAATCAAAGTTTGATGTCTTCATATCTTTTAGTTTGTGTTAAAAATACTATATATATATTATTTAAATGTTTCAATTGTTGTTTTAGGCTGCTATGCGTATTTAGCAAAAGACGCTGTCGATGTCGATAATCGATTTAAGATTCTCTGTTAGTTGAATTATCATGAAAATAGTGTCCGTAAATTACTACTAAATATTCAGAAGACCGCACTTGTGCTTCAGAATGGTTCCTCAGCTATCTATGTAGTAATACACTCAAGAAAGTGGATAAATGGAATTTCTAAATTTTATTGGCACATAACGGAACTTTATTTTTAGCAAAGATGAAACATGACCTGTTTTGGACACTTTGACGTTTTCACGCGTGCGCCGTAAGGCGATATAATACTTAACATAAAATCTCAGAATTTTTTTTTTTATTTACGCACTCCAAATATTTATTTAAAATTTGCTATGTTTATTCTTAATATATATACTGAAAAGTGGTAAAAAAAATTCAGAATGCAGTAATGATTATTTTTCACACTAAACAATTTGTCCACGATTTTACCGGACAACCCTTGTATGTGAAAAAAGAGCAGGATAAATGCAAATGGGAAGAAAATGATCGGAAATAATATTCTTCCTCAGCCCACTTTTGAGCACAGTTTCATTGTTATTATTTTACATAGATACGTTAGATATAATGCCAAAATCATCTAAAACACAATATTAATATGCAATATTAGGATTAAACAATGACGAAAAG